AAATGGTGTTACTGACAGACAACTCTAATTTAGAAATAGGTGTGAAAAAGCTAAGTGAATCATACATTTATCCTTTTTATAATAAACAAGCGAAACTGAATAAATAAGAATTGTAGAACTCTTGCATTCTTACACAGAAGAATGCGCCCATGTCCAGTCAACTTCTGTGTCACTTCTTGCTATTGTGCTCGTTTGCACAATTTAGGGAACTTAAGGAAAACATGACGGCAACGGCATCGAGATCGTCACCAAACAAAAGGTTTAATAAGCGGAACAATGGCGGTGCACGTGTGTTATTATTATCGGTACATTTCTTTGCCGTCCTCTGCAAATCAAATGACCAATTTCCAAGCTTTTTGACAACGGGACCCACTATGGCTAATTTTTCGTATTTCTATTCGGAACTGAAGGTATTCGTAGCATATTCAGCAGGGGCAAGTTTTAATACCGACAAACACACTGAATGGATCTAAATAAAAGCGAAATTCCAAAGTATAATATAAACACCGTTTTTAATAGGCGTCGTCCTCGCCGTTACCGTCGTGCATGCGTAAGGAGCTTAAAGAAACCACGACGGCGACGCCGAGACAACGTCGATTGAAAAATGATTTTATATTTTATCTATGAACCTCGCGGCAGACTAAAGTCGTTAATTTTAATTGTTTATCACTGCCAAAGCTATCACGAAATTTAATCTAGGACACATTGATAAATTCGAAATAACAGTTTTAAAGATTAACCGTCGTGGTTCACGTCCTCCAGACAACGCAGAATATGGTCATTTCACGTTGTTGTTTTGCAGAGGACGGCAGAGAAATGTACCAAAAAAACGCACGTGCACAGCCATTGCTCTGATCATTTAACCTTTTGTTTAGCGACATTGCCATTGCCGTTGCCGTCGTGGTTTTCTCAAGCTCCCTATAGCTTCCGTCTTGCACCGGAGTTAGCTATTGCCACATTTCGTCAGTTATAAGTTCTCCCGGCTATGCCTTTTCACTGTTAGAAAAACATCCCCTTATCATTCTTATCTATGTTCAACCGCTTCCATCAGTATTGGCATGCTTCCTAAATTCTCCTCTGTTTCAAAACGGAGTCAGAAGCAGAAACCGGCAATTAACAAACTGAACAAGCATGTGAACGGACTAACACGCGTTTTCACCACTCCTTCTCAGTAAGTTTACCATCAATGCTCATTTGAAGCGGCTCCGCCGCCAGGCTAAAAAAAACAAAGATAACCCAGGAAGAAAACTGCAAACTTACAACACTGGTTAGAAATAAAAGAACTTTGCAAAATCTCCTTACATATATTGGCTGGACAAATAAAATAACTACATTTAGAAGTTGAGCAACACCAACAAACAGGTCTGTTATTAGTCTCTCAAATCAATAGCCTGTTCCAGCTGGCTCTCGGTAAGTGGCCGCGACGATCGAAAAAGCGGGCG